GTTGTCGTCACGTTGAAAACTGACATTTCCGACAATACTATAAATCACACACGATCAGTTATGGAGGCTCCGCCCACGCTCTACTGTACTGATTTCAATTGTTTTGGAAATGCATCGGTACGAGCTTCCGGGACGAAGTAAACGCCATCAGTTATAGGCCTACTGATGGTGCAAAAATTACTAACAACAATACAGATCGTGTGTACCCTGCTCAATGGGTTTATATAACGTATGGAATAGCACCACTGCCATTTTTAAATATATAAAATTATTCGTACCATGAAGCACCAATCCCTGGTAGCACCCATTCCCACCCTCACCTGCCCTTCCCTTCCCCCTGTCCTTTCCTTGACCATTAGCTTGTCAGAGACACGCGAAAGCTCTCACCAGCTGGGTCCTCTCCCGCAGTGACCAGCGGTCCACCCTGGCCCCCAGCGACAGCGAGAGGGAGTGCCCGCCCTCGCGCCGGGACTCCTCCTCGACGTCGCCCGCCTCTCGCCTGGGGGTGAATGTGCCCGCCAACGACTCAGACACCGGGGGGTCGCACTCCCCCTCGCCCCGCGCCGCCAGGAAGAGACAGGTTTGATTCCTTTCATTTTGTATGATTTCTAATACATGGGTTGTAGCTATTTTGGCTTTACCGAGAAAGTAAATACTAAAACAAGATATTTCAGTAGCGGAATTATTAAATCAGACAGACAGCCAAAAACAAGTAGATAGACAAACAGATGTGTGTGTGTGCGCGCATGTATGTATGTGTGTGTGTGCGCGTGTGTGTGTGTGCGCGCGCGCGTGTGTATGTGTGTGTGCGTGTGTGCGCGAGAGAGAGATATGAGAGGGAGAGAGATATAAGAGAGAGAGAAAGATATGAGAGGGAGAGAGAAAGATATGAGAGAGAGAGAGATATGAGAGAGAGAGAGAGATATGAGAGAGAGAGAGAGATATGAGAGAGAGAGAGATATGAGAGAGAGAGAGATATGAGAGAGAGAGAGAGAGAGAGAGAGAGAGAGAGAGAGAGAGAGAGAGAGAGAGAGAGAGAAAGAAAGTGAGAAAAAGAGAGAGAGAGAGAGAGAGAAAGAAAGAAAGAGAGAAAGAGAGAGAGAGAGAGAATGGATGAATGAGTTAGCATTTGATTAAATGTAAGAGAGTGAGTGTTTGAGTTAGGTGACATACTGAGTAAATAAGTTAGAAGCTGATTTAATGAGTAAGTGTGTATATGTGTTCTAAAAGTGTCAAACATGGGCCATGTCATATTAATGCTTTAATATCTCCAATTCTCCCACACTCTTCTGATGAAATGTATATGACAAATATTTTGCTCTGTACTGCTCCAGTCACTTTAAATCTTTATTCAGTAAAAAAAGAGAATTCCTCATTGACACAGAATTTCAACATCAGTTACTTATACTATGATGGAAGAGAAATGTAACAAGCAAATTTGGAAAAAAAAAGAGAAAGAGAAAGAGAAAGAAAGAAAGAGAGAGAGAGAGAGAGAGAGAGAGAGAGAGAGAGAGAGAGAGAGAGAGAGAGAGAGAGAGAGAGAGAGAGAGAGAGAGAGAGAGAGAGAGAGAGAGAGAGAGAGAGAGAGAGAGAGAGAGAGAGTGAGAGTGATAGTGCTTTTTCAGCTCTTGATATAAAGATATTAGTCAATTTTCCTTTTAGTATTTTTATTAATATTATTTTTCTCTGTTCTTCAGCGTGTCCGAAATCACTCTCTGACATCACTGTGCATAATATCCCACCACCCATTCTTCAGTGCATTCAGAGAGTGTCTATTTCTCCTGCGCCGCATGATAGATGCTTGCAATGAAAATGCATCTCCGAGAAGAGTTGGAGCTTCACGCCAAAATAACAGGTACAGAGGATATAAGGTTTCTGTTGTAGAGAATGATATAGTAATGAGTTATCATTGCAAGTTTCTCATATTGGTAATATTACTTGTTTCTCATATTGGTAATATTACTTGTTTCTCAAAATTTTCTCTTCATTTAGGTAAAAAGTCATTACTGTTTTTGTAGAAGTGTTGAGGAAATTACAAAGAGATTAGATATAATATATCATACTCCATATCTTTGAATTAATTTTAGTTGCTTACATAATGCCATAATTAATGGTTAGAATACATAACACTCATTATATCCAGGAAGTGTCATTTTTAAAAGATTATTACTTATTTTCCGTTGTGAAGAATTAAAAAAAAGGTTATTAGGAAAAACAGAACCAGTCTGTTTATTTTATATCCAAATAAAATGGAAGGTAGTGATATTAAACATAATGAAAAGCAATAAATCAATAGAAATACATAGTCTTAAACTGAGAAGAAAAAAATTGATAAACTTTCTTTTCTTGACTTGCAGGGACACAGTGTGGAGTGTTATGACAGGTCGACCACATGAAGGGGTTTCTAGTGTTGTTATGCATGATGTTAGGGAGATTGAGACATGGATCCTGCGATTGTTATCTGCTCCAGTTTGTGTACCAGGAAAAACCAGAGTTGAAGTGAGTTTGTAGCTCTGTTTGTTGTTCATATAGTTTATGATGCTAATTGTCCATATTAAGGGAATATTATTCTCATTAGGAGTTATGAATCTCATGATTATGGTATTCTTTAAAAAAAAAAATTTCTTGGAATTCTGAGATCAGTTTTTTTTCACTTACAACTGTATATAAATCTTATTTAAAATGTATCATAGTATATTCATTAAAGAATTTGGTTCATCATATACCATCAGATACATTTAATTATATTTAAGAGTAAAACCTACAGTGAAAATGTTACATTAATGGGTTATTGAGATTTTCTATTATTTATTTTGTTAATTTTGAAGATTTAGTTTAACTGTAGTGATAACTAACCCTTGCTTCTTTTACTCTTTTTTTATGAAATGTAAAGATATCTTTGGATATGTATAAACTACAACAGCATATTTTCTTTTCACAGCTGGAATTATTGTCAAGAGACTTCCAACCACCCTTAACCTTTGCATTGCCTGACCACACTAGGTTCTCCCTGATAGATTTTCCACTCCATTTGCCTTTGGAACTGTTTGGGTGTTGACTCTTGATCACTGTACTTGAACTCATTATGCTTGAACAGAAGGTGAGGGAATGTCCTTGTTTATTATGCTGTTTACAGGTTTTGTAAATGTTGTATTAATGATATTCATAATACTTATTTTTGTTGATTGATTTAAGTGAAGAGAATATGAATCTCATGATTATGGTATTCTTTAAAAAAAAAAATTTCTTGGAATTCTGAGATCAGTTTTTTTTCACTTACAACTGTATATAAATCTTATTTAAAATGTATCATAGTATATTCATTAAAGAATTTGGTTCATCATATACCATCAGATACATTTAATTATATTTAAGAGTAAAACCTACAGTGAAAATGTTACATTAATGGGTTATTGAGATTTTCTATTATTTATTTTGTTAATTTTGAAGATTTAGTTTAACTGTAGTGATAACTAACCCTTGCTTCTTTTACTCTTTTTTTATGAAATGTAAAGATATCTTTGGATATGTATAAACTACAACAGCATATTTTCTTTTCACAGCTGGAATTATTGTCAAGAGACTTCCAACCACCCTTAACCTTTGCATTGCCTGACCACACTAGGTTCTCCCTGATAGATTTTCCACTCCATTTGCCTTTGGAACTGTTGGGTGTTGACTCTTGCATCACTGTACTTGAACTCATTATGCTTGAACAGAAGGTGAGGGAATGTCCTTTGTTATTATGCTGTTTACAGGTTTTGTAAATGTTGTATTAATGATATTCATAATACTTATTTTTTGTTGATTGATTTAAGTGAAGAGAACCCTACATATGATCTTTTCATAGACTGATTATTAATATTCTTTACTAGGTGTCTTACCTGTTGTTGCAAAGTCTGTTGTACTGGGTTGTATAAACAGTAACACCTGTTTGACTTTATATAAAATACTATTTAGTAGAGCAAATGTTTTGCATACGAAGCAGAAAAAACAGACAGACCTTTAGTTAAACCAAATAAATAATGTAAATGTGTTGAAAGCTTATTAGTTCTCTCTGTGTTAGGCAAACCTTTAATTGAACTTTATTTGAAAATCATATGTTTAGGGGTATAAACTATACTTGTAATATAATGTGTATTATACAGTTCTCAGGTATATAATATTATGCATTTAATATAATAAATATTTCTCTTATTCCAGTTGGTGTTACAGTCACGTGACAACAATGCATTGTCCATGTCGGTGCTAGCCTTTGTAGCCATGATCTATCCACTGGAATACATGTTCCCTATCATTCCACTTCTGCCAACTTGTATGAGCTGCTCAGAACAACTTCTCCTAGCACCCACTCCCTTCATTATTGGCATCCCAGCCTCTTTTCTCCTATACAAAAAGCATTTTAGGTAAGTGGTTGTTGTATATTAAAGTCATGAACAAGCCAGTAGTTTATCAGACTTAAAGATTCCAGGCCTAAGTATAGTTTTACAAGACATTTCAACTATATGGGGCAATGTTGGGGGAGAGGCAGAGGTGATGTCCACCTGGCAGGCATACCTGGTAGAAGCTTGGAACATCTGGTCCTTGCTACAGCATTTATTCTTGCCGCTAAGAGTTGAGATGGCTGCCCTCTTGGAGGTGAGAAGACCTGGTAGTGGCAAGATCAGTATGGATAAGTATACCTAATTCTGGTTGGGCTGGGGTGATGGTCATAATCTTTAGGGAGTACCATAATTATCTCCAGCTGACTTCAATCATCGGTAGTAAAGGTCATATATTATTATTGTTTTGTACGCTTTTAGCAATATTTGTAAACTTGATAAGAAAAAGGCGTTCTATGCCAAACTCACATCTGTGGCTGACAAATGTCTCTGGCAAGACATTTGCATTGTATTCGGCAACTTCACTGTGGTATCCATCTGTGATCAAGTTGGTTATGAGATGTCTGTTGGTTTCCATGGCTTGGGAGCTGATCTCAGCAAGAACAGCCTCCTTCTCCAGGTCTTTGCTAGATCCAAGAGATTGAGGATTTCTGGCTCCTGTTATCCCACGTCACTGGACATGGTACAGTGATACTGTGGCCATGGAGACAGACCACATTCTTTTCAGCAGTCATTGGAGGATCCTCCAGAACTGCAGGGTTTACTGGAATGCTGAGTTCTGTGGCACTGACCACAGATTGGTTGTGGTAAGCCTTCGAGTCCACTTTAAAACTCTCGGTCTCTCCAGTGGCCTTTTCAGGGTGTTCACTTAGAAAGACTGATGGAGGAGGAGTGTACCCAGAGGTTCACTACAGCAGTCTCTGATCAGTTCAGAGCTCAAAAACCTGATGGACTCAGTAGCTCAGTTGGAATTCTTTAAGCATGAAGCACCATGTATTGCAGGAGTCCATTGATGATTGCCTGAGGGAAGGCAGAGTTTCATATCACTGGAGACATTGGAGGCCATGGATACGTGTTCGTGTGGCTTGATTGAATAGCAATCAGGATTTGTGCTGTTCCTTGGAGTGCAGGGTTTGGTCACTGCTGAGAAGGAACAAGGAACAATAAATCAGGAATCTTGCTGAGGAGGTTGAATACCTCAGTGGATGGACAGATCATCTCAGATCATATTAGGATTCCTGAACATTGGGCTGAGTATTTTGAGCAGCTGTTTCAGGTAGTTCACAGTTCCTGTGCTGGACCCACCCATCCTATCCTAACTGTGGTTAGTGAGGTGATCTCTGAGCTGAAGGGTAGAAAAGCTGCAGGCATATGGGATATCCCTGCTAAACTGTTAAAGGCTGGGTGAACCTATGGCATGCAGCTTTCATAGAGTCTTCCATCTGGCAGTCTTGTTTCATTCCTTCTGACCTGTTGAGGGGTGTGGTCATCCCTCTCAGGAATGGGAAAAGGGATCGTTAGGACTGTGGCAACTACTGTGGCATCACATTGCTCAGTATACAGGCAATATTGCTAAGGCACCAGAGACCAGAGCAGTCTGAATTCATTCCTGGCCACAAATCCACAATAGACCGTATCCTACTGCTATTGTGAGTTTTGTCATGGGCTGTTTGCAGCCTACAGAGGTCTCCTGGCCCAAGATCAAGATCAGGGATTTTGGGGGCTTGCTAGGGGAACCTATTCAGGTGATACATACTTGCAGTAAGGATGTTGAAATCACAGAGTTTTGCATTGATAGTGTAGTCCATGTCTCTAGGCTGTCAGACCAGGAAGTCAGTAGACAGATTAATCTGGCAGCAGGAGCCATGAACTCAGGCAACAAGAGCATATGGAGATGTCAGTACCTATGCAGAAGGACCAAGCTATGTGTCTTCAAGGCCTTCATGCTGCCAGTTTTGCTCTATGGAAAAAAAAACCTGGATGTTATCTAGTGCCTTGAAGTCTCATCTTGATGCCTTTTGTAATAAGTCTCTATGCTGAATCATAGGGTGCAAATTGGCAGGACCAGGTGTCCAGCCAATGGCTACACCATGGGACTGATATGGGACCTATTACTTCTATAATCCAGGACCGCCAGCTCACGCTATATGGGCACCTGGCTTGTTTCCTTGTGGATGACCCTGCCCATCAGGTTGTCGCTATGAGACAATCCTGGGTGAAGGAGACCTGTGGGGCAACCTAGGAGGTCATGGCTTGGCAGCTGGACCAAACCTGTCATGAGGAATCAGAGATAGGCTCAGGGCCTGGCTTGAAGTAAGGGATGGATGTGGCCATGTGCCCCAGTTGGCATTAGACGCCTGATGATAAAGATGATGATGAGATATGTAGATTAATTGGTTAGACAGTTGGCATTGGCACAGCATTAGGTATTGAAATTTATGTAGTGTCTTAAGATTTATCTTAATAATTTCCATTTTTGTAATTGTGACGTAAAAGTATGCTACTAGCTGTGATTCACGTTACATTATATAACAAAAGATCTATTTAGCACATAATAAGTTTAAGTTATATTGGGCAAAATTGTTTAAATGGTAAAGGTTAATGACATTTAATGACATTTTTGGTTGCATAATAATAATTCAAGAATACTTGTACCATCAAAAAGTGCTAAAAATTAGGGTAATGAAAAACTGAATGTAAATAAAGTGTTTTACTGAAATACAGCACATTAACAGAAGTGCAAAGCTTGTTGATACAGGTGGCCTCACATAATCCTGTCTGAAATGAATAAGTATCAGGCCATTACTTTTGAGAAAATAGCTTGTGTATCTTTATTCATTTACTTTAGGGATATCCGTTTTCTACTTTGAAATACTTCTTTTCTTGCCACAGCTTGCCAGATGATGTATGGTTGATTGACTTAGATGCCAATAAAATAACAGCACCACCACAGTGTGATGACATTCCTCCTCTGCCAGAACCTGAGTGTACCATACTGAAGAACCACCTTAAGCAAGTAAGAATACATGTATTAGAAAATTTATAAGATTGCTTGTTAAGTAAATTAATATTTTTTTTACTAATGCACATTTTGTATGTTTTTATGTCTCACTTGTTA